CACTGTGGAGAAAACGCTGTATACATTCCATTGAAGGGGTTCAAGTAGAGGAGGGGGAAGTGACATAAATGATCAGACAATTCATCAATCAAGAACTCCTCACGCGGTAGCATAAAGTCAAAAGCCAATTAGACTTTTACCACCTTAAAAAAGACATTAAACAAGGAATCAACCAATTCTAAGGGGTGTTTCACTGGGAGGGGGTGGGACAGGAGGAAAGGGGGAATTCCAGCTCTGCGGGTGTGTACTTTAGGGGGAATTGTATGTTGCTGAGGGAGTTGGAATGGTCGTTTAGGGGGCTGTTCTGAACTGGGGCCGGTGGGGTGAGGGGGCACCTTCCGGCGGAGGCGGTGTAAGGACAGAGGGATGCTTTTGAGGGAGGAGTAATCACCGTTTTTTATTGAGAGTCCTTTATGAATAGTTGAGCCTCGAATGGACACCGGAGCCACCACAGGACGAGGGGGTATTTTCCCTCCCTCTCGTTTCATGGAGGCAGAAGGGGTTTCTCTGTCTTGGTCTGAGTCAAAATTCATTAAAGGAGGGCAGGGGGGGGTTAGAACTGTAGGATGGAATCTAGTCAAGCGGCCTTTAATAGAGGAATGTTTGTTAGGCACGTAGGTCAGAAGAACGAGGCTGGGACGACATAGGCCGGTGCTGGAGTTTTGGCTCTGTGACCTTGGGGGGAGCTTGAGGCTTGTGGAGTTATGCCGAGGGTGGAAGGCATAACCAGATCGTTCGACGAAGCGGGCGCCGGGGTATTAACCCTGTAACCTGTTTAGGGGCTTGCCGTTAAGGGTAGTGTCGAGGGAGGAAGGCACTTCCTGTCCGTCAGAACCAGTAGGTTAAGCAGTACTAGGGAAGGTTGCGGGGCCCTGTTACCCTAGCATGAAGGGGGTATGAGATCAAGTGAGTTCTGGTACGAGGACTGAAAGCCTGGTTAGACTTTCCGTCTCTTGAGGGGGGGATTCTGGATTGTAGGCTGTTTTCAGTTTTTGACTCCCCGTCATATAGTTTTCCATGCCTTCTTAAAATTTCTTTTGTTCTTAGTTTGGGGGTAAGAAATGTTTCAGAACTCTGGGACTTCTAGCATCCTCTCTTAGGTGGTTTCGATGCTGTTGCACTCGGTGATCTGCAGCTGTTCGATGCCAGAACGACGCTGGCCGGTGCTGGGGTGTTGCCCTGTAACCTGCTGATGCAGGGGCGTGAGGCCTGGTAGAGAGATCTGGGGATGCTTTGGGTGGGCATTCCATGGGACAACCAATGATTGCTGCTGGGACGACGCTGATCGGAGCTGGGGTGAGTTGCGTTGCCCTGTAACTCAGCAAGATGTGGGGGTGTGAGACCTGGAAGAGCTCGGCAGGGAGTAAGACAGTGTTGGAGAGCTTTGGAAAGGTTTGCTAGTGATTTCCAGGGTTTGGAGCATTCTTGATCTATTCTCATGCTTCTCGAAGTGCAGCAAGTGTTTTCAGATGATTTGCATATGTCCTGTTTTCTTCTCAATGAGGTGAGTGGGTGAAGTAGATGGTCGGATACCAAGCATCCTACTAGTGAGGGGGCTAGCTCGTAGGACGGAAATAGGGTACAGCAACAGCGGAGATGGTGGCTCTGCTGCAGTAAGACTTGCCGGAGTGTGGTGAAGTGGACTGATGGGGGGGGTTGAGTCTTTTTCTGATTCTTGCTCAATCTTGAAGACGGATGTAGTAATTGCTAAGTAGCTCTAATTCTTTTTAGCCAAAGCCGGGTGGCCCCGGTACCTCAAATGCTCAAACTTCTATGTAAATTTCCATATGGGACGCTGGGCCCGGTTCCCAGCACGTGCTGCTCCCCACGAATAGATTGGAGCTTTGTTCCCATTAAAAAAAATAAAAAAAAAAATAAATTAAAAAAAAAAATAAAAAAAATTCTCAGGGGACTGGCTGGGCAGCAAACAAGGGGGCTGGATCGCACACATCCGATGGGAGGGGGGACAAACGCAGGGGCAGGAACGGGATGATTTTAAAAGGGACTACTGCATCTTCAAAGAGTGGACCAAGGTGGACCAAGGGGTCCCGCTGCGCCCACCCACAAACTTCCCGGACCCCTTCCCGCCTCATCAGCTGGCAATGGTGGACATGCAATGGTACGGAGCAGCGTAAGCAGATGACAATCGTCCGCATAAAGCTGCCAGCCGACATCGAAGTGGAACAGAGGGATTGATGGTGGGGGATGGGGTGGTAAAGTGTTTTGGGAGAGGGAGAACTAGTCTCTCAGTGGAAGGTATCTGGCGCTTGGTACAGGGCGAAGAGGTTTTCCTTGCTCCCAACAACCTGCACAGTCAGAGTAATCAATGTTGGCAGGTGTCTTTCTCAGTCTTTCTCAGTTGTATTTCCTGGCATTGTCTTGATTAAAATTCAGTGGCTGCTGCAGAAAGCTGCCAGCCGATACGGAGCGGAACAGAGGGATTGATAGTGGGGGATGGGATGGAAAAAGTTGTTGGGAGAGGAAGGAACTAGTCTCTCAGAAGCAACCTGCACAGTCAATCCTCTGGAGGACAGAGTAATCAATGCTGGCAGGTGTCTTACTCAGTTAGTATTTCCTGACACTTTCCTGATTTGTTCTGTGTAAGGGACGCTGGACCCGTTTTCCAGCAGGTGATGCTCCCCACCAATAGATGGAGCCTCTCCCCGGGTGCTAGTGCTGCCTGCTTTTACCAGCAGCACTAGCACTGCAGGGGATGTTGATTAAAAAAAAAAAAAAAAAAAAAAAGCGGCCTGCTTGCCTCTTGGGCGGTGACTTCCAGGCCGCGCAGCCTCCAAGCAAACAGACCTCCTTCCTTTCAGAGGAAAACATCATTGCAGACTCTGATATTGCCCATACAGGCCCTAGACTCAGACTGGTTGGACTGGTACCCGGCTAGACCTAGCCTACAACTACTGGGCCTCTAAAAATGCCAACTTTGTCTTCTACTGGGCCTCTAAAACTGCCAACTTAAACTTATTCTGCTCGGCCTCGAGTACCCGACACATCTACCTCTACTTGGTGTGGTACCGGCCTACCTGTTACTTGAGTGTTTCTCCGCTGCTCTAAGTGTTGCGGGCCTCTTTCCCCGCCACACGAGTGTTTTCCCCGCTGCAACCCTCAATGTCACGGCCACAGGTGAGTACCGGTCCTTCGGTCCTTCCGAACAAACAAGTGTCCTTGCAGGTCACACACACACTCAAACCGACAAGCGCTCAGACAGGCACGCAGACCAGCAAGCACACACACACACAGACTTAGAAAACTCAGCAACAAATGGGAAACTCAGCAAGGCAGACCTTCCATTGGCAAAGCTCAGAAATCAGCTGTGTGTCTCAGTCCGTGTTTGGCAGGTTTTTACACACAAGAAAAGTGAACCCAAAGGCAAGGCAAGCGGATGGGTAGCATGATGAGCAGCAGGGCAACAATGCGCGAAACGCAGAGCAACACCGACAAGGCAACCAAACTACATGGCAAACACAGAGCTGCAGTGAAAAACATGGCAAGTGGGTGGGCAGCAAGGCAGTGGAGGAGAGCAGACAGGGCAGTGCACACGCCCAACACATACCAAAGCAATCGATCACCTACTCACACCACAAGTAGAACTGTGGCATACTCCGTACCACACGGGCCCAGCAGAGCCCGACCTGGTAGACTAAGGGTCCGTAGGGGTAGGGCCTGTTTCAGGCCCTGTGTCCTTTCGGCCTCCAGCCTGAAAACGATGGGCCATTTTCCAGGCCCTCACAAGATCCACCTACCCAGTATGGCCTATTTTGTGGAGCGTCAACCCCAGGGTCTGGCACGTTTTGGCATAGGCACGAGCAGCCTTTCGGACGGGCCAGCACTATATAATGCTGACCCGCCCTGTAGGCCGCAGGCAGTTCCCAGGCACTTCACGTGCAGAGGGCAGGAGGTAGTCTTCAGGACTTGGCAGCGGCACTCTGGAGTAGTAGCGATAGCAGTAGTCTTCAGCGCTGGGCGCTAGTAGGAGAGAGAGAGAGATGGTTGGCGGAGGCCAGGGATACTCACCTGCGGCGCCATAGCTCCAGCTTCGTCTTCGAGGTACCTGCAGCAAAGCGCCACCTTCACAGGTTAGTATCGCACACACACACACACACACACACACACACACACACACACACACACACACAGAGAGAGAGAG